TCCACTACTCAATTAACAATCTTTATCCCCAACATATAGGTTTAAGCCATAACAGCTCTGTGGAAGCACTACTCACTAATGTTAGGTCTAACACTATATGTTTGGAGCAGCAGGTTAGCTTAGCTTAGCATAAAGACTGAAAACAGGGGGAAACAGCTAGCCAGTGTCTGTCCCAAGGTCACAAAATCTGCCTACCAGCACCTCTAAAGCTCACTAATATATCTTTTTTGTTATAACTGAACAAAAAACAAAGTTTATCCTCATTGTAAGTATCAAACAAACAAGCTACGAACTGCTAATTATTGAGCTTTAAAGGTGCTACTAGGTGGATTTTACCTTTACTTGGGGACAGAGCCAGTCAAGCTGTTTGCCCCGTTTACAATCTTTATGATATGCTAAACTATTCAGCTGTTTTATATCATATTTAGCATACATACATGAGAGTGGTATTGATATTAGGGATTTTTATTCGTCTCAACAAGAAAGTGAATCATTTCCCCAAATGTGAAACTATCCCTTTAAGCTGTTGTTCTTACTTGTATTGTCTGCCGGTTGTAAACCTTAACCACGTGAAAGCTGAAACTGTAGACTCCTTTTCTTGGGGCCACGAAGATACTCCTTGCAGGATCAAAATGGCTGCCAACGTTCACTAGGATCTAGAAGGAAAAGTAGATGAAGAGTGAGAATAAATAGTAGAATCAGGCCATGAGCCAAGCTACTATAACCTTTAGCAATATCTGATAAAGTGCCAGGACTGCGTTTGTTCATAAAAGATGTTATCTGAATGAATTCTTGCCTGCTTTTTCATCATAGTTTGTTCTGTTCAGCCTCCTGCCAGGAGAACAAGGTGAGGCGGAGCAGCATCACCACTCAGTATTGTTATTGTGTGATACTTTTCTGTCTACAAATAAACCCTAATTAAGACGTGATGCGCAGCGCAGTGTTTGCAACCTGGTTTAGGAAAGCTTTGTGGACTGGATGGAAATGGAATGGAAACTACTGGCCATAAGATTAGTATGAATCCTAATGACTTTGGTGATCTTCAAACTTTTCCTTTAGTGCCACCATGATGTTCACATTTGTGGTTTCAAGGTCTCAACAATGAGTGGGAGGGTTCTTATGAAATGAATGCACACATTCGCGTCCCCCTCAGGATGAATTGTAATATCTTTGGAGACTCTTCCTTTAGTCCCAAATTATAATAATAATCGTTTTTCACAATTTGGACTACTCAGTTCCAATTAAGGGAAATCTTATCAAATACAGACAACAGACAATGGTATTCTTCTAACTTGTTTCAAGATGTCAGTGCCACCATTAACCCTACATATATGCCTGACTTCAACTGTGAGCAAGGCTTTATCATCCAACATTAGTGGCCGACCTCACGGATGTTCTTGTGGCTGAAGCTTCTTAAAATCTTGTATCTTCTTGCTTCTTCTAGGTTCCTCTGGAGAACATCTATGGCCCATATACTCAATACGCGGACCAACGTACAATTGATTCCAGACCCGAAGCAAAATTTCTATGCAACCTGACTCAGTTGAGAGTCATTGGTATAATGTCACCTCAAACACACGCACATCTTTTAGCTGATAGTAGCCAGAGTTAAAAGCTTGTAGGTATGTTCAAAACTAGCCAATGCAAACAAAGGTTGACTCTAAAAACCATGTTTACAAAATGAATAGACTAAGAAATATTTGTTTGTTTTGTTTGGGGAAAGCACAGAGACCACTTTTCTTAATTTGCAAAACAGTGGCAATACTGAAGAATTGTAAAAACGCTTCGACACCATAATTTTGTCGCCTGAGCTCTGAGGTAAGAACCACAAAACTTTACCATCTGAAGTAACATCAAGCTATTGGCAGAGTTAATGTAAAAACTACAAATTGGTTGTCAACGAAAAATGGTTGTCACACCAAAGTTTAAAAAACTTAGTGATACGATACAGAAATGTATTTTCTATACACCATTTTTATAACGTAAATATATATATAATATAGTAGCTGAATCCATCTTTTCTGAGCCTATGAAACTGGACATTTGCCAAGGGGACCTTTAAGACTTGTATCTATAATAGTATAAGCTATTAAATCATTGTTCCTGATCAACAAGAAGCAGATGGACATGTCACAAATTAATAATTTCTTGTTTATTTTGCAGGATGGACTGGTAAACCTACACTGAAACCCACCTGGTCAAAGTAGATGGTCATGGTGCGGTTGCTCATCTCCGAGGGTTCGTGGTTGGTGTTACGGATGGCTGAAAACGCCACCCGGCCAGTTCCTGACCTCACCGACATGCCCAGAGCGTTACCCGATGGCTCCGCAGAGGGGGTGGAGTCGCACACCACCAGACACTTTCCTTCCAACACGATTGGCTCTGTGTCATTCTGGCAACTGACCCCCGAGGGCCCCCAGAGGACCAGAAACAGCAGCACAATGAGAAAGACTGCGCGGGGAGCAAGGTAGGGCGAAGAGGGAGGAGATGGACAGGGCATAGTTCCAAATGAGGATGAGCTGTGGGTGTTTTTGGGCTTTGTTGGTGCACAGTGACAATATGGCCACCACAAATCTTCAGCGAGAATAAGTCTTCTTGGAGAACACCTCACTTTAGCAACAGCATCATAATTTCACATGGAAAGAAGTCGTCAACCAAAGGTTGAATCTGGCTTCTTACGGGACATTAAATGGTTCAGGTAATCCTCAGCTAAGTTCTGCCAACACTGGGTGGAGATGGACTGTAGAGGACTATTAGTTGGCACCAAGATGGCGGCTTCCCATAACAGCAGACAGGAAGTCCTTGTATGGACGGTATAAGTGGAGGTTATCCAGTTCCTCAAACCACAGCGAGAATGGCCGTCAGCCAGATGGGCGATGACACACAAATCCAAACTGGTTTGGACACTGTCAAGGTTTCAGACCTGTTTGAAGTAGATCACAGGACACAGGAAATGTTTGCATAAAACTTTTCCATTTTCCATAAATGAAAACAATGACTTGAATAAAGCTTGGCTGCTTCAAGACGCTTTAGTATTTTCAGTATTTCTGCGTAAGGTTTGATTGGAAAAGACAAATTTACTGTAACAATTACAGGAAAATTAAGTATATTTATCAACTAAGCTTAAAAATTGTGTGATGCATATGTTTCCTTTTGTAATGTGTGTATGTGCATGTATGTGATCATGTATAAAACCATCCAAACTACACATTTACACATCTCTCCTTTTCCTCTACTTGAAAAATAGAGTTTAAAACAAACAATAAATTCACATAAAATCCAGCAATAACTGCTTTGTGGTGACAGAAATGGAAGGGTAAGAGAGCTTTCAGTATCTTGGTACTTAAAGAAATTGAGCTTTGATGTAAACTCTTTAGCAACATGTAAGAAAGGGCAACATAGACTGCATTTTCTGTGGAAGTTAATGGCCCAATGTGTAGGATTTAGTGGCAAGTTTATGTATATGTTTTATAGTTGCATCATAGAATCAGTCCTGACTCACTGACTGACTCAATCCATCATAGCAAATCTGGATTATCCTCCTTTTAAAGAATTTACCGTTCTCCCAGCTAGTTGGAGATACAGGTTTTCAAAAATGTACAATTACCAATGTGTTAAATTGAATTGCATGGCGGACAAAATGTATTTCTAAGGTAGTAAAGGCCAATTCCTTAAACTATTATAACAATGACATTATAATAATACTATATCACACCAATATAAGTGGTCTTCAGTGCTCAAACCGACAATGCTGTAGCATTAAATGCGGGAAAAAGCTGACCCAAGTGTTCAATGGTGAGAGGAAAATGATTATGATGAAGAATAAGAAGTGATGAGGTAATGTTTTGGCCAGGAAGAGTCCCAAGTGAGTAAAGCCAGCTGGACTCAGGAGGGGGGGGCGGGCGCGCAGCAGACTATCACAATCCCACCACTGAGAGGCCATCTGTGGGTAAACACTCCCACTATTACTCCCCTGAACATTTCCAATTGAATCCCTGCACTTGCATTCCTTTACACAAACACACATAAACACACTATAAATACAGATATAACAATAGTAGCTAAAACATTACGGGAATGGCAGATAATTAATACCACAACTGACTCTTCTACACTTCATGAGAGCATCATCCTTCAATAAATGCTAAATCATATATTTCTTAAATTAAAACTAGAGGAGTGTAGTTTATTCACTATTAAGGAAATCCTGGATCTTTTAGCAGTGTTAGATGAATCCCCACAATCTGTGCCTAACAACACACCCAACAACAGAAAGTACAAGCATTTTTACAAAAACAACCCTTGCAACTATTGCCAGAAAAATAAAAAAAACACCCACCTCTCACTGTGAGCGTTGGCTCTGCAGCGGCACACAGAAATGAGCTTTCTTTAGTGAAGTTATAGCATCCCAAGAGCCCAGCTCCCCCGTTACCTTCAGCTTTATCTCTGCTCATCTCCCTCTCTTTTCCCCAGCTCTCCTTTTAACGCTCTCTCGGTTCCAGGGAACCCCTGTGTTCGAGCAGACGTTTAATCACATCACGAGCATTGCGGCCCTTCTGTTCTCACGGCTCCTTCACCCCCTACTGTCCCTGTTTCCCCTCCCTTCTCCTCATCCTTTACCTCAGAACATAGCAGAACTGAAAGACTCCGTTACAAACTGCTATTTATTCTTTCTGCAAGGTTTTTTTTTGGCAAAGAGAGGGATCATATGACGTGGGTATTTGATGACCTGGGAATAAGAACGAGCTGATAATTCATCATTAACCAAAGGTTTTTTCCCCTCATAACAGTGGCAAAACAAATTTATAGGATTTAAAGGTAATCATAGTGAGATCAACAGTGTTGGAAGACCAAGCTCAGAGAAATCCGTGGTACCTTTGATTAGCTTTGTTTGAGTGATTTGACCTTCTTAAATATTTTTGGCAAAAGACATGGAAATTAGTTGAGTACATTTTCTTTTTTAACAGAGAGATCAACTGAAGCTGCATATGAAGAAGGTAGAGGAACAGGTATTGGTCTTGAATGAGTAGAATCAAGGAGGAGTGGACCACATAGGACAGGTGACAAGGGACAAACACTTGACTTATTGCTGTTACTGGCATTATTTTAATTGTTTGACAGCAAAGGTGTGGTGTTGTTAAATTAATCTGGTGCAGTGCAGGTCAGGGCACGGCGCAAACAATGCAACAACTGTCATTACATGGTGATGACATCAACCGTCATTCTCATGAACATTAACTCCATTTTGTATGAGAGTATCTTGAAAAAAAAAAAAACAACTTCATATCATGTCCTACAAATAGTAACAGCCCTTTAATTTATGAATCTAAACTTTTATTTTTGTCTGAACTCTTAAGTTACTTAAAGTTCAGGTAAGGCTTTGGTACATTCTGACACAAATTAAACCTCATACAGTAGTGTTTAAATTAACAGTTCACTACAAAAGCAGAAGATTTTAAGAAATTAATGACAGAATAGGCTAAATAATTATCTGCTAAAACAACATGTAAATAAATGTACAACCTCCTCCATTAGTCATTAACAACTAACATGGCACTGAAGCCAAATGTCTGTGTGTAATAAGTAGCTGAAAATCTTAAGTTTTTCTTAAAAAATAAACATATATTAATGTTGTGGTGCAGCTTAAACAAATTGCAAAATAATAATATAAAGTCAAAATAATTGAAACATGAATATACTTATATTATACAACTATGTGTATAATATGTTCAAACCTACAAATTAATTGCCCTTAAGGCTGAGAATACAAAATCAATTGTGACAATCAAAAAAATTTAACAATTCTAGTTTTTATTTTTTAAAACCTTAATTTTTTTTTTCTGCATCTCAAGTTATAGATTTAGTTTCACAGTGCCTTCAACAGCATTTTTATATTATTTATATACATTTATTTAGCTATTTTTTAGGTTCACATTCAAGAATTAAACTGTTCAATTCATGTTGTCAGAAACAGCAAAAGTCTTACTGCAGTCTTTGAGGCAGTGAAAGGGTGAGCATCATGAATAAAAAACTGAAGTAACTCAACTTCAGCCTGTTGCAGGCCAGTGTTGGTCAACTGTTACAGTGCAATAAATGTGTTTGAACCAAAATAGGTTAAAACATTTTCCTAATCTAAAAAAACAACTAAAATATCATCCTTTTAAATGACACATCACACATCCGACTCAATGGAAATGTTCTGTACCTCCCTTACCCTTCCCTCAACAGGACAGATAATCAACGGGGCGGTGTTCTTCCCATTATCTTGAACACAGGGGTTAAAGTACGGGTAGAGGGGCTCAGCGAACGTACACCCGCTGTAAGTGTAAATATGAGTCTTTGCTTCTGCGTCATAGAAGGACACCGACCCTTCCTCGTAGTCCAGGAACACACCCACTTTCTGAGGGGGTTCCTGGAGGTGGAGGGTGACGGAGGGGCTGGTGCAGGCGCTGAGGCTGCCACCTTTCCGCCGGCAGATCGCCCAGTAACCACTGTCAGGACGCACCATGATTGCCCCCTTCCTGTTGATAGACTCCCTGGCCACGCCAAGATCCCAGTCTGTTTTATCTCCAACCTGAAACACAACATGCAAAATACAGTCAGACAGGCAACAGCAGAACGACAGCTTTAAACAGCTCAGACATGTGTGCTTTAAATTAAGTACTTCAAGATTCACTTTTATCACAATTAGGTCGATTAGGTGCCTCGGTTTACTACATGTAGAATTTGCAATGTTGATTAAATATCTTGTTATATCTTTTGTCTTTTAGGGCTTTTATTGTATGATATGTTAAATTAGGTGGTATTTCAACTGGAAAATGCGGTAAAGATCTTAAAATAAGCACAAAAATATGTCCTGAAACTCGTGTCAATTGCTGTTCACTGATGTACTCATGTATAGGGTAAAAAATCCCCAGCATTTTTCTAAACAACCAGCAGTACAAGCCAAAATAAATAAAAATTCTACCAATGTCAACCAACCAAGTCTAATGCTTCTTGGTGTGCATCTGCAGTGTCTTTTGTGGTAGTCTGACAGTGTTTCAGGAGCTTAAAGTGTGTTTTCTTCTTTCTGAGCTCTTACCTGAACCACCCAGTAGCGTCTCCCAGATGTAAAGCTTTGTTTCCCTAAAACGCAGACGCAGGAGTCAAATCGCTGAGGATTGTCTGCGAGTGGGGCCTTCTTCTGGCTGCTAAGGCTCACCTGTGGAAAAGTATAATTATCGTTATCATCATCATCATCCTACTCTTTCCAATAATGCTGTAACCCGATAGTCAACATGTCATCATCGCAAAATTTTTAGTTATATTTTGAGCCTCTTTGCTCTTAATTCTCACGTGCTTTTACCAACCCAGTGTCACATTACAACAAATTTTAGCTCAACTGGCTGCGTCAGAACAAAAGATCACTGTCTTTACAGTCTTGAATGTCAGAAACTATCCTGGAGTATTAGTTTCCTTTAGGGAGACTGTGCTCTTCACACATTTAATAGTCAATGATAACAATCAGACAATACCTGCTTTCTGTCTGGAGACAGGACCAGCCATCCGGAAGCAGTCTCAGGATCCAGAGTGACATCCACTGCAGAGAAGAAGAAGGAAAACAGTGAGTGAGGTGATAAAACAGTGACTTATCAAGGTTATTGAAATAAGCAATAGATGTATGATTGTGAACGTACATGCATATTGATTCATCTTGTCTGCTTCTGCAAAAAGAGAAGGGAGAAGAAAAATGGTTATTTTCATGCATTGATTTTCACAACAATCCTTTCAATCTTTGGCCGTTTCGTGAACTAGAATCTACCAAAGGTTTACTTACCTTCTGCAGACAGTGTGGCTGAAAGTTCCTGGCAGGTGTCCACAATCTTAGCGATGGCTCTCCTCACCGTCCCCATGCAGTTATCTGAGTGGACCGCGACCTCAGACCACTCTTTAGTGGAGGGGAGTTTACTTAGAGACGGGAAGCTCTAAAATGGGAAAGGGTTTTCATGAGTTCAGCTCTTAAAATGTTAACAACAGCAGAGAAATGTTACAAGGCAGTTCAGGTATCCAACCTGTAGGAGGTGAAGAGGGTTCTGAGTGAGCTCCAGGTGCTGCAGCTCACTGTTCCTCATCTGCAGGTTATTGATTTCCTCTTCCAGCTCGACAAGCAGCTCCTCAGCTCTCCTCTCAGCTTCTTCCTGCTTCTCCTTGAGCTCCTCGACCAGCCCGGCATGTTGTCTCTCAATGGCGGTTATCAGCATGGTGCAGGCCTGAGCATTGCTCTGTATCTCTCTCTCTGTGTTTTTCTATAGATTGAAACAATAGGACCTGTAAATTCACGGAAAAACCCCCCCAGACTAGTTCCAACTCTTCTTGAACATGCGTCCATACGACAATGCCGGACTTACTTTGCTTAGATCCACTGAATTTGTTATCTGCTCCATTTTTTTCAGTCTGGTGTGGATCATCTGTTGAAGGCTGGCCTTTGTCTCCTTCAAATTAGTCTGCAAAAGGTCAAAAATATACAAAAAGTTGAATATAATGTGCTGGAAAATGCACCCAGAAAGCAGGTAGAAAGGACTGATTTTCTTTTAAGTTTATACAACTTTTAGTCTGAGTTTAAAGGAAGCTGCTCGATAAAACAGGCTTTTCCTCACCTCGATCCTCTTGCTCTCCTTCTCTATGGGGACGGTCTTGTGGTGTTTGTGGTCCCTCCCTGTGCATTTCACACACACAGGCATCTGGTCTCTCTTGCAGAACATAGTCAGCGGCTCGTTGTGCTTCCTGCAGAGGTGACTGCTGGGGAACGTGGCCGGATCCGTCAGGCGGTGTCTCTGCAGCGCTGGATCCCTCAGGTGTGGCGTGAGGTGAAGTTCGCAGTAAGACGCCTGGCACACGAGACACGACTTGACTGATGTTGACTTGTTTCCACAGCAGATATCGCAGGGAACTTCTTCAGCCTCGAAAAGCTCGTTTGGGGAGTGATTGTCTCTTCCTGGTAGTTCCAAAACGTCGACATCCTCCTCTTGTTTTGATGTGGGTGACTGAGACCTTTTAGTTGGAATTAAATCCTGTTAAATCTCAATTAAATAATAAAAAAAAATGCTTTTCTTTTACATACATACTTTTACAGACTAAAAATAAAAAAAGACATTCAAAACACACCTTTTAATGATTTCAACAATCTCAGCAAATCCTCGGTTGATCCTGAGTTGAGGACGATTTGCAAAAGTCTCTTTGCACAGCGGACACTCCGACTTGTCCTTCGTATCCCAGAAGCCTTCGATGCAGTCCAGGCAAAAGTTGTGTCCACATGGGATGGAGACGGGGTCGGTGTAGGTGTCCAGACAGATGCAGCATCTGAACTGAACCTCAAACGACACGGAGGCTGCTGAGAAAAACCCCCCCACATTGTATCACTTAAACATGCGTATTTGAGTGAAAAACACTTCAGCAAACAGATTCATTTGGACATTTTTCAGTATTGCTGATTGTGTCTGATGATTTCTCAGTTTTTATTGAGTAAAAATTGCCATCATTGCCAGCTCTACTAGATTTTGAAGACTAAATGGTGAGTTTTTAAATAATAAATCAAAAGGTGGAGACCAGATTTGGCTGTAGTCCTTGTAACCTACAACAAGTTGCAAACACCGTTAGACATAAACATTTAATGACAAAGGACTTTTAATTTGAAATAACTAAATAATGTTTACAAATGCTGCAATACAAGACGGTCATGTTGCAGGTTCCTCTCTTCTATATCCGTAGTATTCCTGTTATTTACAACTTTCTTCTTTCTCAAATAGCAAATATATTTTTGGTGCATTTGGGAATCATCTGCTTTCATTTACAAAATCAGGTTTGAATATTTTGTCATCTATCAACATGTTTTAAATTAATTAATTTATTAGTATAAATTAAAGCTGCTTTGCAGTGCATGTATTGCATGTTTTTTTTTGTTGCAGTATTGATCTTACCTGTTAGGGTTTCCATGTTGAGTGTCCTGATCTTTCTCACAGATGCACCATGTAGTTTAGATGCAGCGTTCTGAGGTTTAAATACTAAAGTGACTCTTTGTCTGCAGGATTTGTAACTCTAATCACACTATTCTCAAGCTCCGCCTCCCTGAAGGAGGGCTGAGATTGATTTCCCCACATCAGTCGGGCATTCTGGTTCTTCTGGTTCTTCCTGTCTTTCAGCTTTATACTGAGGTTGCGTAGTCAACCTCAGCTGTGCAACGATGTGCAGCAAATTTAAGGGTTTGGTTTGAGCTGCAGACCAAGCTGTACCTGGAAAGGTTTGATTCTCTTACTATAACAGCCAAAACATCATCATTTAGGATAATACATGTAAAAGGATAAAGAGTTCAATTAATAAATTAAGTTTTTAATGTCATACAACTTTGGGCTTGCAAGGCACCACAAGTTTATATGAGCCTGTGCTGTGTAGACATTTCAGGACCAAAAAAAAAAAAAAGAAGAAGAAATAACAAAAGAACACAGAAACAGTATGTGTGCGTGCATGCATCAGAGACTGAGAGAGTTAAGTTTTGTCACATCTCTGTTGCTGCAACCAGGAAGACAAACCAGTTTTGCAAAGTTACACCTTTTTTTCCAGAGGAATGAAAAAACAAAACAACTCACAGCCATAGTCACAAGCCAAAACGGGAATTTTGTCATTCCGTGCATGGTTGTGCAAGTTGACGCTCAACAAGATCTACCTCAAAGATCAGTTCACGCAGATAAAAAGTTTGCTCCAGTTCGCTTTTCTTAAATACGTTGTTCAGACCAAAAATAAATAAATATCAGAGGGAGTTTGTGTATTTTACTTCTTCTTAATGCAATGAGGCATTTACCTGTACTGTCAAAAAAAGTAACAAATTGGGACTCGGCAGATACTCAACATACTCTCATGTTTGTATTTCCAGGTATGTGCTGGCAAATAGGCCTGTTTTGTTTTCAGTGCAGGCTGTGTACGTGTGCAGCCCATGCATACCTGTTGAATAATTATGTGGAAAATCGTTGTCTTTATTTTTATCATATGAATAAGCTTCACCAGGCCAAGCACACACACAATGAACTTCTTTTTTGTTTCCATCAGTGTTACACGCAGTTCCAAAATAGAAATAGACATACAGCAAAAAACAAGGACAACAAAGCTGACAATAAACTACAGTGTCACAAGCACCAGGATCAAGTTGCACAACAATTGTTGTGAGAGACAGTACCACAGCCAACAACAGCTTCTGAAAGGTTCTTGTAAACTGAAACCGTCAGTGTTTTGGACACTCACCGTCTTTGGTACTCAGCCACGAGCTCATTCAAGCACCAAGGAAATGTATTTGACAACACAGGGTTTACAATGAAATGAAACTTTGCAGTCCCACACACAAAAAGAAGAAGAAAATAGAACATATACAATAAAATAATACATATAAAGTAGTATAAATAAAGTATAAATGTCTGTTTATAGTATAGTGTGAAAATGACGGACGATACATACATATCAAAGCACTGTGTATCTCAAACTGTAAATATCTAATTTATTATAATTTATCATTTTGAGGCACTTGTACGTTTTTAGTATTTCAATTTTATGCTACTTTATACTTCTACTCCATTACATGTCAGGTGGAAATATTGTACTTTTTATATTATAATAATATTATATATTAACCCCCGAACTGCAGTTAGCAGTTACTTTTCAAAATGAGGGTGTACATACACAACACATGAGCCATTGGTTTTGGTTTATCTACCCACCTGTATTTAAATGTTTTCAAAAAATTAACTAACATTTAAATGCTGCTCACATCTGAGTTCTTCAACAGGAATATTCCAATAATTTATTTATATATGATACAAACTGAGAATCATTACATACATATATATATATGTAGCTTGTGGTGCTGTTGAACTGTTCTGCATCATGCACAGAGGTGTTGCTGTTATTTACATGTAACAGAACACCATATAAATGTGGAGGAAAAACATAATAGCAACACACACTACCTTTCACTCTCTAAACTCTCTGTGATGAATGATTTTAAGGCATGGTCGGGATCTGTTTTAACAGACTACAGCCAGAGGATTTTACAGTTTTTGTGCATTGTGTTTTAAAACCCTTACCAGGAAGTCACAAGACAAATTCCACTTTTACACTGTTATATGTTACTTTTTCTTTATTTTGTGTGTGACAGCAGATGTAATCATCAGCATTTAATATGAGTGGGGATGGGGGCAAAAAATTAGAAACAAAGTCAAAATTCAATTAAAACTGACACTGAAGTAAAAGTATTACTAGCAAAACATATGGAAAGTATATACTGTTAAATGTGTAATCAGATTTGATAAGCTCTTCATATGTTTGTATGTAAAATATTTATCTGCAAAGTAACACGTTAATAAAGCTCCAGTAAATGTAGCTGAGTAAAAGGTGCAGAGTTTCCTTCTGAATTGTAGTAGGGCAGAAGTATAAAGCAGCAAGGAAATGGAAAGTGCGTCCACTGCAGAAACAAAAAAATTTAAACACAACATTGACATGTCATTGCACTTTAAGATGGTTTGCTGAACTTGTTAGCAAACAGTTGCTTATTTATATATCCAGTAGTTACTGAGCAACTATTATTATTCATTTGGAGTCCAATATTAGTCTTATACAGTGGGTTTTAGAGATTTTTCACTCAAAACAGCCGCCCGCTGCGGTTGAAAACAACACTATGGAAGCAGTGGGAGTGAACACAAACAGTAAAGTTGTGGGCTGGACAGCAAAACAATGAGCTGAAACTCTCTGTAAAACCGATCGGAGCTATAAATTTAGGTGATAATTCTCTGTAGGTTCATCACTTTATGTTCCACCACTGAGAATCTCAGCAGATTTTGTGTTTAAGCTGATGAGGAATGATAAATAGTTTAATCAATGTTCAATAGTTTTGTACACAATTTCTTTTTAATTTAGCTGTGATGCAAAAACACCCCAGAAACAGGTTTTGTAAAATCATTCCTGTTTCTGCATCTCAGCGTGACTGAAAATGAAATGAATGACTTCCTTGAGTTCTGCGTTGCATTGGGAAGTTTTCAGAGAGTCCTGTAACCTAACCCAGCGAGCAACAGTGTATTAATATACCGAGTGATATCGCACCGCTTTACAGCAACAGCTTTATCTTACTGAGGTCAAAAGCATATTAAATGCTAATGATTACATCTGCTGTCACACACAAAAGAAAAAAAAGTAACATATAACAGTGTTAAAGTGGAATTTGTCTTCTTTGTAGTCAGGAAAACTATGCAGAGAGTCTGTTTTCACATTGAGTGGAGGCTTATTTTTCTGCTATTACGTTTTTCCTCCACATTTATATGGAGTTAAATAACAATAAAATAAAAAACACCTCTGTGTATGACACAGAACAGTTCAACCACACCACAAGCTACATATATATGATTCTCAGTTTGTATCATAAATGATTGGAATATTCCTGCTGAAACACTCAGATGTGAGCAGCATTTAAATGTTATTAGCTATTTTTTTTTTATAGATTTGCATGCAGGTGGGTAGATCAACCAAAAACCAATGGATCATATGTTTTGTATGTACACTGTTATTTTGAAAAGTAACTGCTAACTGCAGTTCGGGGGTTAATATAGATGAGTCAAGTACAATATTTCCATCTGACATGTAATGGAGTAGAAGTATAAAGTAGCATAAAATAGAAATACTAAAAACTTACAAGAACCTCAAAATGATAAATTATAATAAATTGGCATTTACAGTTTGAGATACACAGTGCTTTGATATGTATGTATCGTCACACTATACCATAAACAGACATTTATACTACTTGATTATTTTATTGTATATGTTGTTCTATTTTCTTCTTCTTTCTGTGTGTGGGACTGCAAAGTTTCATTTCAATGTAAACCCTGTGCTGTCAAATACATTTCCTTGATCCTTGAATGAGCTCGTGGCTGAGTACCAAAGACGGGGAGTGTCCGAAACACTGACGGTTTCAGTTTACAGAAACCTTTCAGAAGCTGTTGTTGGCTGTGGTACTGTCTCTCACAACAATTGTTATGCAACTTGATTGATTGCTCGTTTTGGAGAGCAGTAACA